ACAGACGTGTTTAAAACTAGCTAGGTTAATTTTTTATAATAGTTTATAAAACAAATATATCTCACAACAACAAATGTACTTCTAATATTCGAGAAGAATAAAAATAAGTGCACAGACCAAGTGCACCGTATTGGTGGAATGTACCATGTCCAAATTGGGTAAACATAATCTCAGACATCCATCTTAAAAGCCTTTCAATCATTAAAGTGGCCAAAACCAGATTATGGGAGGGCATCCATGAGACATGGACGTTGTAAATGATGTAAGCAGCAGTAAAGTCAAGGTTGTATGATCGCGCTCTGGCAGAAGATCCTCTGCGCTCCCGCGGCGCAGCAGTCACTGTGTGCTTGGACAGCAGGGCGGGACGACAGCATCTGAGCAGTATGTATCTTTCAATAAACTCCTCATATCCACAAATTTAGCCGTCATTTTCGGACAAAACAATAGTCACTTTAGTGATTTTAAACTATATTTTACCTGTGGTGTCGCCATTTTCATAGAAAATATTCAACGAAATGACTCAATTTAAAAGCTTCCCCTGTGAATAACGTTTTCTATGTGAATGAGATTCCAAATTAATTTATGATTTTAACAATGGTTTTTGAACGGAAATTCTGATACCACGTCTTTAAGGGTCGGGTCGGTAAACGTTATTGATTGCGGCAGTATTTAAAGCTACAGGATTCGCTCCAAACTGCGAAATTCGTCAACACTCTCCGACTTTGAACGTTTATTAAAAGCGCACATATTTCAATGTGGAACCGACGAATTGTATCATTTTAGTTCTCTGAACACCTTGAAGCACCTTGAAGTTATAATTTAAGCGACATGTTAACGTGGTAGATATTGTCTAGAACCCTATTCGCACGGGATTAGTATTATCTGGGGACCTTGTGTGATTTTGAAATTAACCCCCCACCTCTGAATTCCGTGTGGTGCATTCGCACGGGATAAGCGAAGCCTGTGATTTTACTCGAATTTAGACAACCTCCGCAATTATTACAAATGACTGGAGGTCACCAGGTAATGCTAATCCTGTGCGAATAGGGCTCTAGGACGCAATACTCTGTGTATGCTAGCAGGTTAGATCAGTATTTATTCTGTAAACTCAAAATGTCACACGGTTTTTGGTGCCTGTGATTGTACGGTGTGTTATATTGTATTCTTATATAACACAGCACAAAACCACCTGCCCCATCAAGACCATTAACTCCAGATTTACACCTACTATCAGACTATCAGCATCGAAGATAAACAGCAAACATGGGCAAGAAGGACAAACTGAGTTTATCAAATGGCAAAAAAGGGGAGAATGGCGATGTAAGGTAAATGACTACTTTTATAAAGCAAGCCAGGTTACATTGATGTTTTAAGAGCTATTTGTTCTTACAAATACATTTGTTTGATCTGTAATTATGGTTTATGGTTCATGTCCTGGGATAATATATTCATGTCACGAAATATTTAGATCATTTGTTTTATAGTCAACAAGGATAACGATGTAACTGTAAATTATTAAAAATATTTACATTTATTGTATTATTATTTTAGATTATTTATTTATTTGCTTATTTATTTATTTTTTTGTTTACTTTTTCATTTTTCAAAATGAATTGTGAATTTTTTTCCAGCAGTGAAAAAAATGGCAAGGAAGAGGAGAATGAAAAGGTGGAGATGGTGGGAACATTTGAAATAGTGAGTGAAATATTAAATATATTATTAGTATTTGTAGTACTGTTATCATTTATGATTTGTGAAATTAATAATAACTTCACAGCCATAAAGTTGTATGTACTAAACCATTTTAAATGAAAAAAATACTTTTTATTTTAAATATTTTTTTAAATACTCCAGCAATGCTGTAACCAATGGATTAAAATAAGCCTAAATTAAAAATGGATGTGGTGAAGAAGTAATTTTGTTGATTGAGATTTCATGGATTCTTTTCGCTAAAATGCCTTAAGACTAAATCCCTTGAACAATATTGGCATTGATTGCCGGTTTTACTATGTATCCTTA